GAATTATTTAAATTAAAATATCATTTACGTACTTTGTTAATCTTCACTGTACACCTTGCTTAAAAATTTCATATGTTACACACAAGGTGTCATGCACACTAGAAAATTAAAACGGCCGTCACGGTTAAATTACTTACTATTTCGGGTCCGAAAAATTAGTAAATATTCTTCAGACGTTCTAAAGTAAAGGTGAACAGCGTTTTTCTTAAAAACATCACTGTTACGTAGCAAAAAAAATCCGGAGAGTTCTCGCTTCGTGATTTGTTCAATACTTCGAACGCGGCTCGAGTCCGTCCCGACCATCTGTCAAAGCCTCGTGCTGCGGGCTCTCGAACTTCGCGCCGTCACCTCTCAAAGCCGCAGATTGCATTTTCGCAAAGGAAAAAGTTACTTCAAATGACCTCAGTTACCCCTCATTTTCGGCTGTTAAAATAATTGTGGAACACCCTGTATATACCGCGATACATCATCGCAGAGAAGACCACACCAAAAAGGGTATATTATAAGCAGACGATTTTTAGTCGCCGGTCTCCTAGTTGAATTTAGTTAAAGTAAAAATAAAACTTAAGAAAATGAATTAATATCATATTCATTTAAGAAATAATCCAAGCCATAATCCCAATAGTATATATAGCAATTGAAACGCTTAAATGTAAATTTACAAAACGCATTTAAATTGAAATGAGTCTACAGATTATTCGGCATATCATTTCTGAGTTTTGTTTAACCCATTGCACCACGATCTTCTTCAAAGCCAAATTTCAAATCGAAGGTGTGAGGCTTTGCTATTGGTCCTGTTTAAAAATTCTTGGTTTCTTCAGAAATCGCAGGTCACATTAAATATCACTCGACTATTTCGGTTAACCAAGGTGTCTAATTAATTGTTTCAGGGGAATCAGATGTTCAAAACTGCTTTCGTTGCTTTTTTCCAAGGAGAGCAGCTGAAAAGTCGAATTAAGAAAGTCTGCAGTGGCTTCCACGCTTCTTTGTACCCATGTCCGCATACTCCTGCGGAGCGTAGTGAAATGCTGACGGGCGTCCGCACCAGATTAGAGGATTTGAACATGGTGAGACATACGTCCAACATTTCTGTTGTCGCATTCTTCACGTAGTCAGTTATTAGTCACGTAGCCATGTTAAGCCATGCATTTGCATGTGCATCGATAACGTTCCAAGAAAAAAGGAATGTGATTAAAAGAGTCCAATGATGTATTTTAGTTTACAACATAATGAAGACCAAATAGGTCGAAGTCGAAGTACATACTTTATAACATTCCGTCTAACTTCGCCGTGCGACATTATTTTCTTTTAGTTGTCGTTTTAGTGCCATTGTTAGACTGCGGATTTTACTACAGTAGAAGAGCTCAACAAAGACGTACTTCTAGTTTGACAGTCTCAATAAATAACAAACAGTGTAACGAAATCTTTAAATTGTTCTGATGTCTTTATATCTCTGTACTTCACTTATCCACTTTTGCCATGAATGCATAGAATCCGCAGTCTTGTTACCTTGTACCTTTGTTGTTAAAAATGCTTGCTTACGTAAAGAAAGTGTTTTTCAAAAAAGGTTACGAGATTGCTTTATCGTCATTGACTATTGTCGCCTGCGTTGATCCTCGATTTGGAAAATCGTCGACATTTTTGATCGCTTTATAATTTATAACGTTGCACTTTGGTCGCTTTATACCCTTCTTGATGATGCGGAAGACTTGCGCAAGTTCTAGTTGCGCCTCTCATAGGTATCAATCCTTTTGGATGCAATCATAAGAACATCGCTTCAACTCTTTCTCCCTACGCTGCACTCATCTCGAAATCTTCTACGTAATTCAGTGACTGAAATAAAACTAAAAGTTTCTGAATGTAAACGTAATGAAGAAGACTGTGTATATTTCCATTACCACACCACTCTTCCCTCGAATATCAATGTTTAGCGATAAGACGTCTAGGTTCTTATGATACTTACTGTACATACGTAATTCGAACGTTGTTTATGTATTTTCTCTTATGTCTCAGATTCTAAATGAAACACGAGACCACCGTCAACTTGTCCTACGCAATGTAGCCAAAGAGCTACCAAACTGGACCATCATGGTTAGGAAAATGAAAGCCATTTACCACACGATGAATTTATTCAACATGGATGTTTCGAAAAAGTGTCTTATAGGAGAATGCTGGGTACCGATATCCGATCTGAACATCGTCAGAAACTGTCTGAATGAAGGATCGGTTAGTTTTTAAATGAGATTATCCAAAGTGTTTCGTACATTCAAGAAAAGTTCGGTCATGTTTGAATATCGGAATAATGTTGATAATTGTTTCCTTTTTTTAACGTTTTATCTTCTTTAGCGTATTTGCGGTAGCACCATGCCGTCTTTCCTCAATGTGATCTACACGGACGAAAGTCCACCGACGTTTAACAGGACGAATAAGTTCACGAGAGGTTTCCAAAACCTAATTGACGCGTACGGTGTGGCATCGTATCGTGAAGTTAACCCAGCCCTTTATACAATCATCACTTTTCCTTTCTTATTTAGCGTCATGTTCGGCGATGCCGGCCATGGTAAGTAGAGATCAACAGCAGGATCGAAAGTGTCCTTAACGAGAATTAAACCGTTCAATAGTCTGCGAAGAAAAAATCTTTTAGGTATTTTAAATTTCGGGTTATAGCCAATTTCAGCTCATTTTCTCCATTTAATTATATGCAAAAATTTTAGTCCGCAGCACTATCGTTGTGTAGTTTACACAGTAATGTTACTTGAAAAACATCGATGTTAGCAAAATCTCGGAAAACATGACCACGAAGTCATGTTCGTCACCGTAATTTTATTGTCCCATTGAAAAGATATTACCTCCTTTTGAAGAAAGCTTAGTTAAAATAATTAGCAATTAGAAGGCTGGCGAGATCGACCGATTTACATTGCATTTCAATTTAAATTAATTCCACGAAGCTAACCAGAAAGATAATGCCTCAGAAATGCTGGGACAAAATGGACCCGCGTGTTGTCCATGTTGCGCATCACTATCCAAGTGTTGCGCGTAGTAGAGTTAGACGGACCATTCTACATTTAATAAACACTTGAGTGGTTTAACAAAGTAATGCTAGGTTGTATTTATTAACAGACAAGTGCATCGGATACTTTCGTCGTAAATGAGATAATCGGTAGCTAAAGATTAATGAGCATCAGTTAATATATATATATAGCTTTAATGTATTATATTATATTTATTACTGTATTTATACTCTTATATTTATGTTCGATAAGCGTGCTCCTCTACTTTAACATACTTTTAATGAAGTATTTAGAAAATTGTTGCCCAGATCGTTGATTTACACTTACGTTGAATATTTCTTTTTAATACAGGTATAATTATGACTTTGTTTGCCCTGTTTATGATACTGAAGGAGAAGAAATTTATGTCGCAGAAGTCGAAGTCGGAAATTTGGAACATATTCTTTGCCGGTCGTTATATCGTACTTCTGATGGGTATATTTTCTATTTACACCGGCGTGATCTACAACGACTTGTTCTCAAAGTCAATGAACTTGTTCGGAAGTAGTTGGTCCATACCGTACGATACGCAAACAATAAGAGATTCTCATTCTCTTCAATTGGATCCGGCCTTTGAAAGCAGTTATAAACAAACGCCATATCCTATGGGCGTGGATCCAGTTTGGGCATTAGCTCAGAACAAAATTATATTCTTGAACTCCTACAAAATGAAGCTGTCCATCATTTTTGGAGTTGTGCACATGATTTTTGGCGTCTGCATGAGCGTCTGCAACATTATGTGAGTTTCTTTACTTCAGATTATGAAAAAATTAATTGATTAATCACCTAAACGTCTTGTATGTAACTTTCATAAGTTTTGTCCAAATTCGTCCAACACGTTTTATTCTCTACTTTTGGTCGTGTAAATTACAAATTACTCATTCCAAAGTATTTACTTTCGGACAATTTAGTTTTTTGAGATTGTGTACACTATTTTTATCGCTTCGGAAACTTTCAGCATTTTAACAATTATAATGGAACTGTTAGAATAATAGGTAGATTTTTTTTCAACCTCTTTGGACTTGAAATAGACTTTGATTTCAAAATGACGTGTTACGACCACCAAAGCGGGATTATACACCCGTTTAAAGTTAAGGTCGAAGGGTCAAAAATTTTAGCACCCATCGAGGAGAACAAATATTTCAAAGGAATCATGGCTCTCGAGTCAATCGTTCACACAAAAAATGATATTAAAAACGACGTACAGAAATTATATAGGGTGTACCCAAAATTGTGGTATATGCAAAAATAAGTTGAGAAAGAAGAATAACATTTTTTCGAGAAAAATTAAGTTGCAAAAATAATACAATTAAGTAGGAATTGATGAGTCTGACCATTAAATACCAATTCTACTTCTCGTCATACAAGAAGCTACTTGACGCATCTTCAAACTCAGTTCTCTCGAAAACGAGATAATAAGATAAGATAAGATAATAAAGATTTAAATAAGAAAATGTTACTCGTTTTTTTGGATCATTTTTTGCATGTGGAATCACTACTCGGCCGGTTGTACCACGACTTTGGCTGTGGTGGTCCTGACATACAGGGTGATTCACTTAAATTGAACATCCAAGTTATTTCCATTGCCGCGAAAGGTGGGAAGAAATGACAAAGTGGTATTTAAATAACTTCGAAGCGCGCATCTGATGGTAACAAAGAATCGTTCTAGCAAGGCCATTTTAACGATCTCTTCAAGATCATCGATATTCTTTTGCACATTAACGTTTATTTTTTATAGTTCGATGTTGTTGTCTGCGTCAAGACGTCAATGACCTATAAGATCATTCATATATTATTACTGTATATTGAGTAATGTGTGTCGTTTTATAACGATCACAAGATTTGATTTACTCAAACTTCGCATGATTTCTATTATAATTTGCACTTTAATAATGAAGCTCATTAAAACATTTCTCATAGACACTTTTCAATAATTACAATAACTATGAAAGAATAAACAGAAGCTAATTATTTTGACCGGTTTGATAGTTCTAGCCTTAATTAAAATTTAATTCATTGCATACCTAGTATGTACGCTTTGTCTTGTTAACAAGTGGCACGTACTATATTCTTTTCATTCGAAAATTAAATTCATTTCATATATTTACTTTCTTATTGCATTTCATGTTTTAGGAATGCATTCATCACTATGTTTCTTTGCAGGTACTTCAAGAAGTATCCAAGCTTATTCCTCGAATTCTTGCCGCAGTTACTTTTCCTTATTGTGTTGTTCTTCTATCTCGTGGTTTTGATGTTTGTCAAATGGGTCTTGTATAGTGCTTCTGAAAGAGGTAAACAGCGTATTTCAAGCCCACTTAATTCATTTATACACAATATTACTGTGATATCGTAACCCCCACTGTACCACTAGATTTTCAATTCACAATCCTTTTTAATGACCGTGTTGCGAACGCTTATTATTATTATTATTAGTTACAGTATTACGACAATCTTCAATGTGATATTTAAAACACTGATTCATTCGGGCCTTTCATATGGTTATGTCATTATATATATTTATATTATATATATTATATTATTTATATTATATATATTATATTATTTATATTATAGCCAGCCGTTTTGGTCCAAGATGTGCTCCATCCGTTTTGATCACGTTCATCAATATGATACTGCAAGGTCATACGAAAATAGTAGACTGTGATGAATATATGTTCCCTGGTCAGGCCATTATTCAATACGTCTGCATTGGTATTGCTATAGTATGTATACCGGTGATGCTCTTCGGAAAACCCGTTTACTTCCTGTTCGCAAAGAGGGTTAAATTAGGAGGTATAATTCATGTAAGTACACATAATAAAAGGAGTAATATTCGTGCTTAAACAGATCATTGAGATGTTGACATTGCGAGAGAAAGTCTAGACCCTTTACTCTTCTGCGAATGATGAAGGGTTAGAGAAAAAGTTAGAGGACTCGCGGAGGCTATTTACCATTAGACGCCTGCCTTAGACATAGAGGTATCGAAACGACGATTGAAGACTAGTTAGTCAAACCAACAAGCTTACTCAAGCCTGCGATTAGCTGGAACAAGGCAGAACAAGGCGGAACGAAATTGAAGATATGAAAAACTGTTCAGAAATGTCAAGAGTTATTTAAAAAAATAAAGAACACTGTTCTTAAAGGGTCTAGGCACGGAGCGAACATCACATTTCGACCGTTTCACCTTGTTTTGGCAATTCGGCTAAAAATGCTTAAATGACTTGAAATAAACTCCATTCAAGACATATTCAAGTTAATCGAAGGTTTCAATGGAATTGTTTTGTTTGAATACCCAGCACAGTTTATATGCGGATGTAGTCACTACAACAACTCTAATTACCATTTATGCAAAATAAAAATAATGTGCATTAATTGCAAGAAGCAGGGACTGCATAAATATTTATTCTGGTCTTGAATTATTTTGACGAGTTCTAAGTAATATAATTAAACTGTTAAATTTGTCTAATAACATCACTGTTTTGTGTTTCATCAATTTTGAAGTATACACAACAAACATAAAACAAACTAGTATGGTAGATACCACTATTGTTTGCACATGAATATGTTTCATCTGTACACACTGATTGTACAGTAGAACGAAATTCTAAGCAATTTGCTGCAAGAAAAACCCAGAAATATAATTCTCTATTCAACCAGTTTCTTTTCTCCTGTTCTTGCATTATTTATATGGGGTTTGATAAACTCAAATGAATTTGTTTTATCGAACGGCTGAGAGATAGTCGGGGCTTTATTTTCCTTCGTGCATTTGCATACCTTTCAATTAGAGTCTCCAGACTGCGTCAAAGTATTTTGTATCTGATTCCGTTTGTTGTTAACAGATAAAGCACTTTTCCTGCAGGTACTGAATATTTCTTTTAAATGCGGGAAAGTTAATATACACCATTTCACTAATTGACAGTATAGAATAATGATAAGTTTCTTTTTCATTAGTATAATCAATTGATTCGATCTTTTCAGAGCAACGGAGCTACTCAGGACATCGAGTTGCAGTCGGATCCTACACAAACACTAACTTCAACCAGTGAAACGGCTGCAAGTGGTACTAAACATGACGAAGATTCATTCGGAGAACTTATGATCCATCAAAGCATTCACACTATAGAATATGTTCTTTCGACGATATCGCACACTGCCTCTTATTTACGTTTGTGGGCCTTGTCGCTAGCCCACGGACAGTTGTCAGAAGTATTGTGGTCTATGGTTCTGAGACAAGGTCTCGGGGCTAAAGAGAACAATTATGTATTCAGCATAGTCTTATTCTTTTCTTTCGCTGCCTGGGCGTTCTTCACCCTCGCTATTTTGGTTATGATGGAGGGGTTGTCTGCTTTCCTTCATACCCTCCGACTTCATTGGTGAGTAGGCATACATACAATCGAATAATTAACATTTATGCCGAAGCATTTAACATTTCGATGTTTAAGATTATTTTTTCATGTTAAATGCATCCTACATACATGCAATCGAATAATTAACATTTATGCCGAAGCATTATTTAACATTTCGATGTTTAAGATTATTTTTTCATGTTAAATGCATCCTACATACATGCAATCGAATAATTAACATTTATGCCGAAGCATTATTTAACATTTCGATGTTTAAGATTATTTTTTCATGTTAAATGCATCCTTTGCGGTTTTTTAAATTGTTTTCAGGGCTCATAGTGTGGGCCACTCATAATCTTTTATACATGTAGAATTTTGAGCATCAAATTATGGCCAAAAATCTACAAAATTATATTTTAAATCGTGAATTGTGTAAACTCGCATTTAGTTACATAATCGTGGGATATGAATGAGAATAAGAAACGGTGTTATTACTGTGGTTTTAACCGTTTAAATGTATAGTCCTTACGTGGTAAGGGAAAAATCCACATTGTTTCTCTTGTGGTATTTATGAAAAATTTGATTTACCATGATCATTATATGATTTATAGTATGAATATAAATAATAGAAAAAGTGAAAAGAAGAAAAATTTCTTCTGTTTTATTTTTCATTTTGGTCAGCACAGAAAGGGTTAATGTGCTGTGTGAGGAATATGGTGTCAATTTTCATATACACATATTACAATATATTAATTCATTGAACTGAATATATCAGAAATAGTCATTCTATAGCAAAATATCTTGTAGTAACAAGTAATACTTGTTTGACTTGTTAACGATTATAAATAATGTCTTTTAGGGTGGAGTTTATGAGCAAATTCTACGAAGGCCAGGGCTATCCTTTCCAACCATTTTGTTTCAAGAGTATTTTAGACGCAGAGGAAAGCGAAGAATAGACAGTATATGGTCAGCAGCAATAATTCTAAATAGACACGTATGCTGTATCATGTGTGAACACTTCTTTCCGTTTTGTAAGGAATTGGAAACTATAAATTGCGACACAATGAAAAGGAATTGAAAAGTTTCTTGATAAGATATTTTCTATCAAATTGAATGGTTAACTGATTTGTGTATTAAGTTTGTATAAAATATTGTTCCTTCGTAAAATCACGAGATAATACTGTTCAATGTACGAATATATCCTACATTCGTCGACAATGATTCGACAGTTATGTAAATTATGTAATCAAATTACAAAGTTATTTTCCGAACAAGAATATATTTACTGAACAAACATATTGATTAAAATAAAAACTATTTTATTTGAGAAAACTGACTTCGAAGTAGTGGTAAATGTTTATTTTTTGCATCTTTCTGCGTTAGAATGAAGGTTTGCATGTAACTATTTCATTGATACTAATTTTACAAGCTTTACAGTGCTTTCGTTTGTTTTCATCGTTCTCGAAACTTTTGTAATCCTTTGCGCATTTTTTCTTTCTCGTTTCAAATCTTTGCAATCTTCACAGTACCATGCTACTTGTTTATACACTCGTATTATTTTTTAACTGTGTTGTGTAGCGTTTCCAATCTTTGTTATATATACTGTTTTTAGATTTTCGGTTTGATTGTTTGTTTCTTCATGTCTGCATCTGACAATGAAGTTAGTTTTTTCTAGTCCCTTCAATTATAACACAATAAATATATGCATGTTTTATTATATTCCGTATCATATTCTTCCATATATTTCGGTACTGTTTAAAAATTTTCATTATTTCAATTTCTACTTTCTTGTTTTTGCTTTTTTTTTACAAAATTTGGTTGCGATGTATATTTTATACATTTCTCTTCCATATTCCAGTTGCTCTATCTCCTTTATTCTCCATATTTGAAGCATTTAATATTACAATAAGAAAACTTGCAAAGAATATGATTGACATATACAGACACATACCAGCATGTGTCATATCGGAATTTGTGAGCACAAGACATCAAATTGTCTAATCTTTAGAAATTGATTTATTGTATCGACTTTACGCTAGACTACCAATTAATACATGTATTTATTTATTCGGGCATATTTTGCAATAAAAATTGTACAATGTCTTGATAAGTGCGGTCTTGTTATTTTTAAAAGGAAATATACATTGAACGCTATTAGAGCTAGGTAGTTCTAGAGTTCATAGTAATTATATAACAAACACCTGTCTAATATTACCTGTCCTACTTTGAATTTCATTAAAATTGTAGTGTTATGTTTCAGGTGGTACTCTTTTCTCTTTTGTCAAATTTTCTAGTCTCTTCGTTATATAAGATTTAGCTTTTAAAAACTCTTAAATTGTCTATCTTTCTTTGTAATCTGGCAATGTTTTAAAGTCCTATTTTGAAGTCCTATTTTGAATGTCGCCATTTTTCTTTTCCTTCTCTACTTCTACCTTATCTGCTCTTTGTACAAGTCAGCAGCTTGGAAATATGACGTTTAGATTGTTATATTAATTGCTCATAGAATTTTGCTTATTCTAAAAACTAGTTTTTCCCAAAATTTCTTCATCTTTTCAAATATTATCGATTGTTGTTCTTAGTAATCTACTTACACTTGTACTTCTTACTTTTTTTGTTTTTAAATTACTTAGTACATATTTACGTGTTTGTTTGTACTTTTTCTTCTTTCACGTGCAAACTTATCTTCTTTTGTTCAGACGTCATGTCTCTTTTTGTTTTTGAGTTTGAATTCCTAGCATCGAATTTGTGATATGTATATTTGTGTTGGTATACCAACTTCTTTTTGTTTTACTAGATCTACATTCTTCAACAGACAGTGCTTTTGTCCATTCGGGCTTTATCAATTTACTTCGAATATCGATCTTGTTATTTTCATTGTTGCTGCCCTTCCTCCTTTCTGTTTCGTCTCTTCCTGTCGTGCTTACTTGTTTTGAATCAAAAATTTGTTTTTATTATTTTTTGTGTTACCACTTTCTCTGACGTTATGAAACCTTTTACAAACTTTCAAGTAACTCCACTATATGTACGAGAGTTTTATATTTTAATTATATTGACAATATTTTCACTAAACATAATAATTCACATTATTAGCGATCTATTTCATCCTATTTTAATGAACCAAATTGAAACATTGTTCCAACGTCAGTTCTTTCCAGTTTAAAGGAACAATATTGCATAAGTTAACCGAGTACCGAAACATTTTCTGTTAAATGTGTATCACGAATGTATTAATATATAATAGCAATGTATATATAATGTAAGGGATGCTGGAATACCTTCTTCGGATGCACGATATATTATAACGTATAAAAATATATTATACACTCTTTTGTTAACAAAAAGAAACAGGAAATGTCGAATATGAGAAGGACGGAATGTAAATACGCTATTGTTAAAGTACAAATGGTTCCGAGTAGTCAACGTTAAGTATTTCATTCCTTAACAAATAAGAAAATGACGTTAGAAATGTATACAGTACTGGTCAATTATATTACTATAATGTCAAGGAAGAATGATGCAAATATATATAATTATATTTTAACAAAGTCGCATTGAATTGAACGTGTCACCCTAATCATCCTGTAATTAATACATATTCGTCAAAACACTAATGTGTACGTATTGTAAAAAAAAAACACTTTTAGTAACTACTTAATAACAATCCAATTTAGGGGTGAAGTAATTCATCATAAAACTGAAGATCTGAAGAAATCGATTTTATCAGTTCACTGATATTTAATTTTGTTTCTATTTTCAAAAACAATTATTTCATCCTTCTTAGAGTAGAAGTTGGTTTATTTTCTTTTTTTAAAATCGGTAGAAGTAAATTTAGTTTGTATTGATTCTGTATATATTGCAGTTGCCAATGTGCTTTGAAATTTACGTGGTAGCAACATCATAACAGCCATATGCAAAAAATTGCTTTCGAATATATGCTTGGAATCGAAAGTTATACGTGTTCATATTAATGAACAGCTGCTACATCAATATATTTGAACATCATAAATGCAGCCTCACCTTTAGTAAACAGCGCGTGCCAAGTAATTGATTATTGTCATTATTAAATCATAAAGTCATGAGGGGAACATGGATGGTAACTTACCATTCGTAAGAGACCCGTGATAGACGACAGCTCGAGCGATCAGCTGATGGAGAAGGTAGATAAATCAGTGTACACACCTCTCAATAACAGGTCTTAATTACAATACTTCTCTTTTTCCGCTTCTTTTTCCATTTTCTAATATCGCACAGTGGTAACATCATACAATTTTTATGAAAATCGATACTTTTGTATTTCTGAGGTCGTTGAATTTGAATATGTTTTCAAACACGCAATGTTCAAAATGGAAAATCAGACACTATTAATCTAAGTATTGTTCCTAACTTATTTTTTGTGAATATTAATAATTTTTCGATAGAGTAATGTAGAGTATATAATAATTAAAGTATAATATTTAATATGACGATCTTAATTTCAACATCTTTAACATTGCTCTTAAAAAGGTCTTAAAAAAAGTCTTAAAAAAGAGTGCATTGGCCACGCTAAATAAATCTTCAGTTAATAATATATTACACGAAGTGCTATGTTGAAAATTTAAACGTGAAACGATCAAGAGATATAATATGATAGTACTATGTATTTTAAAATATTGTGCTCTAAAATACTGTACTTTTGAAATATTTCTATCAGATATTGTTTGAACAATTATTATTATTACATTTATTTGAATACGAAACAAAATGAAAGATTACTGAATTAGATAGTTAAGTATAATAATGAAATAATTTGGAGAAAAATCACTTGATCCTTCAAATAAAAGTCGGTACATGAGTTATGGTTATTATTTATAACGAAAAACCTTTTTTTAATTCTTCATATTTTC